CTGAGCCTTAATTGAAATCAAATGTATATTTTTCAAAAGCATGTCCAGCATCATAGACTCCTTTTTGTTGGGGTTTTGTTGACATTAGCAATGGTATAGCAACCTCATCAGTAAGGTTTGCTGTTATTAGTGTTTTGAATACAAACCTTGTGCTTTTCAGGACTCTTAAGTAGCTGATTAGAGGAGGGAGTAATAGTCTACTTGATTATTGGTTACACATATGGAATAAATCCTATTTTAATCGTGTCTAATGAGCCTTTCATTTTTAGAACCTTACACAAAAGCCCCTAATAGAAATGGAAATTAATATTTCAAAGGTCATCTTAATGTTACTTAATGTCAACAATCCATGGTCAAACTAATATATAGAGATATTGATTACAGTCCAGTGTGATTCTTTAAATATGAAATAATTTTCTAAATTAGCAAAGTGGTGCAATCTAAGGCTTTAGGTTTGAGGCAACTTAAAATTTCTAATTAAAGTTTGTTATTAAAAACAGCCTCAGAGTTAAAAAGATTATTCTCAGGGTGAGACTTCATGCAATGCAGTATTTTAAAGTTCTGTCATTTACAGTTTCATGCACTGCGGTCATGTGCATCTGTAATTCCACTGAAATGTGCAAACGGAAAATGAGGGCTCCCCTTAAGTGCTTTTTCTCAACAGGAGAATGTGATGCCCAGTAGAAATGTAGAATGTTTTCTTGGTCAGGAGGCCACCAAGGGAACTGGGAGGCACAAATATTTTAGTACCAGACATCTGCTGGGTAGCAGATTTAAGTTGGGAAATTAAAGAATTTCTAGTAAGAGACTGGCATTCTGGGATTTTTGTCCCATTTGCTATGTGAATGAAGATAACCCTGCCCGACCTTGGGATGGAGGTATTCTCTTTCTAGTTCTAGGATAGCTGCTACCATGGTCATCTATAGGACTCTTTTCCAAATTAGAAGTTGGTGAATCCTCCAAAGCACATTCCTTTTGTCCAAAGATTGTTATAAGAAAATGGACAGTGATCCCAGTGGGAGTGGCATTTCCTGTCTCATCTGCTCACACATCAGAATCTTCTAGAGGGTTTGTTTGTACTCAGATGGCCAGGCCTCACCCCTGGTGTTCTGACTCTGTCTGGGGAAGGGTCAGAGAACTCATATTTCTGAAAAGTTTGAAGGTGATGCTAATGCTGATGCTGGTCTGGGAATCATGTCTTTGAGCTTCGATACTCAGGGTTTGTTAGTGTAGAACCTGCCCAGCCATATCCATTGATCTTGGCATGAATAAACTTTGAGGTTTGTTCATTTTGTTTTTCCTACTGCATACTACACTGTCCATATTTGTAGGCGCTAACTTGGTATTTGTTATGGGGGCAGTGCTAAGTAGATAAAATTACTAACATGGAGAAAATATATAGCAAAGAACTTATCATGGGATAAATGCTCAATGAATACCAGATCCCCTTTCCACCACCACCACCCCACACACTGTTGCCCTGTGTTTTTCTCTTATATCCTGTTTTTCTCCGTTTACCTTTACCCTGGGCTCTGAGAGTTTGATTGTGTTCTGTTTTTCTCTTATCTTCCTGTGCATGTTCTGGTTTTGAGTCTTAGGCAACCTCAGGCTTGGTGATCCAGTTATGGGTCACTGGGATTTGGGTTTGTGTCTCCACAACCAGTCCAGAAAGGACAGGACCTGAGAGGAAGCTATCACTCAGTCGTTGTATAAGAACTGGTTGGCAGCAATGGTAGGAGCAGTCAGTTGACAGTTTGGACCTAAGAACTCAGGATGGCTCTTGTACTGTAGGAACTTCAATGAGAAAGCATGCGATCAAACCCAGGGCAACATTCCTAATGCTCCTTGCTTCCCTACACTTGGGTGTTCATTTACAAGGTAAGACAGACACACTCATTAAAGATTTGGAAAATGTGAAAATACTAAGAAGGATAAAAGGCATATATTTGCCCACCCACCCAAAGAATCCAGTTTTGATATATTTTTTAACCATCTTTTGTAAGCCTGCATAAGTGTTCGTTTATTTTTAAAGCATTTGCATTTAACTGAACTTATAAGTCTGGGGGTAAAAATGCCTCAGGGAGAGGAAATTCTTATGTGGAATTACAGGGTTATTCCCATAATGAATGATAATGATTCATTATAAAATTGTTTGCTTTCAAGTTCCATCCAGATGCCATTAGTGAGGCAAACAGCACCTCCTTCCTCTTGCAGAATCCTAGGTGTGACAAGTTCATCCAGGTGTCTGTGATGTGTTGGGTGTTAGGCCCCCCACCAAGCCATCTGTCAATCCTTTAGGACCAGATTTTACTGGTCTTATGTCCATGGTTTCAAGTGAATTTCTTCAACAAGAGTGAGTGGGTGGTGTATATTATGATCCCCTGCACCCATGAAATTGCCTTTGTCCTGCTTTTATTTGTACAACTCAGTGAGATCAAACCCTTCACTCTTAATCTCTTCCCCTGAATATGCTATAATTTTAATCAGTAATCTTCTGGCCTTTTTTTTACTACAGAAAAGCCACCTAATATCAGCTGGATTTTCATTATTTTACAGATACCCTCATTTGTGGTCTTTTTCAGTCTGATTGCTCTTTTCTTCCCTCCATCCTTGCTATTTAAAAATCATCAGGATGTTCTGAGATGTCATTCATTCTTCACTGATTGGCTGGGAATGCAGTGAGCCCTTTGGGGCTTTTATTACTGCTTTTGTTAATAGCAATAGTAGCACTTAGTTGAGTTCTAACTGGACATAAAGGTGGACATTGGACTGGAAAGACCTTGGAAATAACTGGCCTACGTGCAGTTTATGTCGGATTGTGTGGACAGTTTGAGTTAGTCTAGCTCATATATGGGATCCCTCTAACCACTCTGTGGAAGAATTAGGGATCTTATTTTATCTGGTACTCAAAGAACACTTATTAATCCATCCTACAGTTGTTCTCCATTTCCCTGCTGGTGCCAAAACAATGCAGCTTTCACTTTGACCAGGATCTGAGGCGACTGGAAGGGAGTGGATCCTGGGGCCTACCCAGCTGTGGGTATGTGTCCTAGAATGGAATCCACCCTACAAAAGAGGCTTGCTAGGAACTAGGCTACAGGCTTGGCCTGTCCCAAACCACAGGCTCATTTCAGATCTAAGTGTGGTCCACCAGGTGATTCCAAGTAAAATAAACTGAGCTCCAGGAGTTTGCTCTGGTTGTCATTCAAAGAGAACCTTTAAAAAAGGGTTTGGTCAGCAGAGACCTCTCAGCTATGAATTGAGAATTAATTTTGAGTCCCCTTTATCCTTAAACAGGAGACCCGATTGAAAATCTACTGAAATAAACCCCTCACGTCCTCTCTCCTCTAACGATATGGCATTATATGTCCTTCACTGCTGAAAAAGCACTTGGCTTCGTCAGCATTCATCTTCCGTTCAGTCTAAATTTATTTTTATGTGAAATAGAAATCAGGAAAACACCAAAATTATTTTAAGCAAAATATCAAAATTGAAATAAACCAACATATGTCTGTGAAACATGTATAACTCTCAATCAAAAATAAGTGCAACTTTCATAAATTTCTTAAAATACTCCAGCATGCAAAATCTGAACCACTTAAATAGATGGAATTATGACATGTTTGATTATTTTTTCTACTTAGTTCATCCTTTAGTTAAAGGTGAAAATACCAATCAATCACAAAAACCTGGCCAGCTGTAGATCATACCCTCATGAAGAATGTCTTCCACCATCTATTTTAATAATTAAAGAACCAAGAATGTTTATAGAATCTGCAAAAAGACTAAGTAATCCCTGCTAATTTTGAATGAAAACCATCCTGATCTAATCTCCATCACTTATGCTCTTTCTTATCTCATGCTTCCCCCTACATTCACCTCTAAAGAGTGAGGTTTCTTGATTGCTTTAAACATATTATACTTTGTTCTGGGAGGTTTTTTCTTATATTTTGAACTTTCCCTTCCACTGGGAACTCAAATGGGATTAAAACTGTCAAAGTAACATAAATATTCCAGGGCTTAGCACCAAAGGGAGAATTAAAAGATAAATCCCCATCTCACCTTTAGGATTCATTTATAGGCTTTCCCTAACACATTTTCTTTATTAGATTGTCACTTTAAGGATTAGAATCACTTTGGCCCTGTAATAATAAATAGGAGCTGATATTTTTCCCACAGAAGACATTAAGTAAATGTTACTGTCAATAAATATTATTGGAAACCTGTGACGCATTTGTTGAAATTCTCCAACCTTTCATTTTATTTCTCCTCTTTATGAATTGGATAACAAAATTTCTAAAAAATACAAATAAAAATTAAGCTCTTACTTCATGTGGAAAATGATTTAGTGCTAAATGAGTCCTCTGCTTTCTTGTTCCTTTTTGAAAGCATGTTAAGAATTTTATCTGGTTAACTTGACATCACCCTGCATGTGAACATGGTCACTCTTTGGGGAGTTGAAAAAACCCCTACAAGTTTATAGTTAAGGAAGTTTCTGATCATGTTGCTGTGGTGGACATGTGCTTTTTCATCTTAGACTCTTGGATCTTCAATTCTCTCTTTATTCTCATACTTTACTCTGACTTTTCTCATTAGTTTATTTGTTGTCAAAAAAAAGTTTCTTCCTTTCTAGTTCCTTCAATTTAGACCAATTTGGAAATGGAAAAGTGTGTTAATTTTTTAATAAATCTTTAAGACACACATTACTGTATTTTTATTAACTGAGCCAGATGGCTCACAGTGAATTTTCTCTGACATAAGTAATCACAGAAATCAGTTCAGGACCCAAATCTGGTAGAGAAAGTGGCATGTATATTCAGTGGAAAAGTGCACTTTGCATAAACATATGGATATTTTTAGACGTAATATTTGTTACTGTTTGGATTTCATTTCATTTTATTGTTTTAGGCTAAGTACAAACTAAGGACTCCCCAACTCCATTCCCCAGACTCAAGCATTCAAGGTCCTCAACAACCAAAACTTTTTTTTCTTTTTTGCAGTTTGAAGGTTGCAAGAAGGCCTTTTCAAGGCTTGAAAATCTCAAGATTCACTTGCGGAGCCACACCGGCGAGAAACCATATCTATGCCAGCATCCGGGCTGTCAGAAGGCATTCAGCAACTCCAGTGACCGTGCCAAGCACCAGAGAACGCATCTGGACACTGTAAGAATGACAGGCACTTTTCCATCTTCCAGCCTGGGTGTGAGGAAGTACCATTTTGATAGTGGGAAGGTGGAAGTGTTTGCTTTGTGGACTGCAGGTTATAGGGACATGCCAAGGGCAGCAGTGGAACCCAGAGGGGTGCCCAAAGAAGACTTGTGTGGCTGTTTCACTTTTGGTAGTTGCAGGTTATCCTAATTGTTACAACTTCCTAGGAGGTGTACAAAACAGAAGCAGTTGATGGGCTGTCCTGCAGAAGATTTTAGCCCAGAGGATGGGACATTAAAATAAATATTCAAATATCACGGCATACCACAATAGACAACACATGCTATTGCTAGAGATACAAGGTGTAGTTTTTGTTTGTTGACCCGGGTTCTTTTTCCTCCTGATGTAAGAACTGGCATGGTTTGAGAATGAATCTGGCCTTTTGCTTTAGAAACTACCTGGTATTTTCACCTTCAAGCAATCTAAAAAGAAATAGCGAATCTCTCCCGTGGGTTGAGTCTCATCATGCCTCCTCCGTGTTAATAGCCATATATCCTTTGACACCAACCCCATGAGAGCAGTTGACTTTTATTATTACAGCCTTAACTCCCTTAATGCTGCCACATTTTGCTCATTGGAAAATGCCTTCCCTCTGTAACTCTTGTCTTTTATTTTTCCAATTATGTTGATAGCTCTCCTTTTGCATTTCTCAGGCTTTGATGCCACTTTCTTTACATGAGACCAGGTAGACCTATGTAATTTTGCTTCACTTAACAAAGCCATCAGGATAAATGTATTATACACATCACAGATCTCTTATCCCTCATTCTTGCAAATAATGTATTCATGACAGTACTTTCTCAGTGTTAACATTCTGATGTCTATTATTAAACTACACCAGAGTTTGAATTTTGAAAAGATACTGTTATTTCTACACACCTTCTCATGCATATTTAAGATTCTTCTGATGTTATAGTTGACATATTTATTAAATTTTATATTAGTCTCTATTAGTCATATTGATAGAAGTCATTTTAGCTATATGTCACATAACCTTTCTAAATAGAATTCCCTCTTAATATATGTAAATATGATAATTTGCCTAGTAAATATCTGAAATACAGTTGAAACAATTAGTATGTGATGGGCCCTCTCTGCTTTAGTGGAATTGAAATTTGATTTTAGGGCCAATAGAATAGGATATAAAATGAATAAATGTGGTGAATAGTGGGATTTTTTAAAGTAGAAAAGGAAAAAAGAATAAATTATGTTAAAATGCCCTATTTTGTTGTGTCTAAAATGGTCTTGGTCAAATCCAATAAATTTTCCAATTTGTCATTAAACTTTATCATGGAAGAATGAACATTCATGAGACAAGATTGTCTTGAGAAATTGCTTCTACTCTAGCTAGTTATCTGTAGTTTGAAAGAACTATTGTGAGAATGAGTGTTATAGTTCTACAATACCCTTTTCTGCTTGGTGCTAATTTTAGCTAATCAAACAAAGAGCATTTTCAGAAATTATTTCAGAATTTAAAAATACGTATCTCTTTTAAAAACTTTTGAGGAAAGCTCCTAACATAATAAATTTTCATGATTTTAGTTTCATGCAGTAGCTTTTCCAACTCAGCTGTTTTTACTTTTATGAAAAAAATATTTTTTGATTAAATCTTTTTGAACTATCAGTTTTCCTTTTCATTTATCATTTTCATTTCATTTATTCATTTTTCATGTATCATTTTCCAAGCTAGCTCCTGTTTAAATTTTTAGTACATTTAACAAATTGGGAAGCCCTTTAAAAATATATAGAAATTAAACAACTTGTTTTAAAAAGCAAACTGTATTTTCTTGAAGAATTTCCAATTTAAATTTAGATCCCTGTTCTCTTTCATTAATTACTCCTTATGCAAATGCTATCTTTCTTCAACTAAGGGGACTCTTTACTCATAGGATAATGATTTTCCCATAAATATTAGTGAGTTCTTAATCTAACCCTGAAGAGTTTTATTAATTCATTTCTCTGTTTCCTTGTTTGAAATCTAAGCAAGGTAAGTAATTATTCAGTACAAGTAGAAAATAATAAAATATATAGTTTAATAAAGTGTAGCATACCATTTAAGGCTTAGGTAATTTGAGATCAAATAACCATGACAGTATTATACTTAGGCAAGTTCCTGGCATTGCTGTTTTGTCACTCTAGTCCCAGGTGGCAGACAATAAGGAGAGAGTCAAGGACATCTGGGAGAAAGGGTGTGTATTCAGGCTTTCTCCAAGAACATCTCAAAATTAGATACAGAGTGACATGATGAACCTAAATCATAGTGGCATTGGTTTCTATAAAATGTTAATATTCATAAAGCCTTTTTACACGAAACATTCTGTCACACTCAAAGCATGAACTTATTTGGTCATAAGATATTGGCTACTTGTTCCCTTAAAGCCAAGGAGGAGTAGGTAAGGCTAGTTCAAGAAAGCCATCTTAGAAGAGATTCCCAAGTTTAAGAAACCTTCATTAATATAGTGGAAACTCATTGGTGAATGACTTTAGCCAATAATTGGCTCACCATTTTGTAAAAATTGAGGTATTAAAAGCCTTGTTCATTGTTAGATTACCTAATATGTAATACAGCACCCAGCACATTCTACAAGCATGAGAGCTGATGGGTGATTCATTCATTCAGTCAGTCAGTTGGTCAGTGATCAAATATATCAGATATCAGACTTAGAATTCAAATGGGATGCACCAAATTAAATTATATATTCATGATTTTACTTTGTTCTCAGAATCAAAAATTGTGAAAAAAAAAAGTAGCAAAACCTAACTATTGCTTCCAGCAAGGCCAGTGATTTAATCTAGGTGACCGTTGGTCCACAAAATGATAAGCATGCACAGGAAAATAGGAGCACAACATGAACAGGGAAAAATTTACTTAATTTTTTGTCCGTAGTAAAGCAGATTTCTAGAGCAAGAATCCTACTTTAGAGACAAGGTTTCAGTTCTCCTTCTTATATTCACATCATGTAGGCACAGCTTTCATCTCTCACCTGATGAGATACTAAGTAGATCAGTGACAGTTAATACATCTTATAAACATAGTTAATCCTGTGATTATTTTTTTTCAGTTCTTGGAATAAGCAGAAGGTTTTGATTTATCTTGCAACCACAGAATCATAGTCTTAAAATCCTGGATAAAAATTTTGTCATTATACTAATAGTAGGTGATGATACTGAAACTTGAAGGGATGTGAAGTGTTCTAATTCATTCATTCATTCACTCATTCATTCCTAAGTGTTATGTACCAAGCACCAACGATAGAAAAATTAAACAGAACCTCAACTTGGGCTCCACACTGCACATCTCTCAGGAGCATGGGGAATTGGAATAGCCAAAATTCATGTTCCCATCATGCTCAGCCAAAGGCTTTTTCACTTCATGCAGGCTCAGCACCAGGACTGCTCTGCAACTAATAACATTAATGCCCTTCTGACTGATTTTTCGTGTCTGTTGTTTGAAACCTACTGTCTCTTACTCACTTTACACTAATTTTCCTTCTTCATTCTCTCCCTCTTTCTGAATCAGGTTTCTTCTGAAATATACCCAGTCTTTTCTGGACTTTTCTACAGCTTCTTTACCTGAACCCTTAAAGAATATGTGTTTACTAGTTTCTGACAGTACCAAAGATTGTTCTCAGGGAAACATAACTGTAAGTATGACTGGAGATGCTTACTAATAATTTCCACACTAAAAAATGCCACAAGAGGTTTTGTGGTTAGAGTGCAATCTAAAGCAATCTCTTAAAAGCCATCAAGGATAGGACATCTCTTTGTTCTAAAGTTTACTCTTTCCTTTACCATGATGCAAAGGTCCTGGGCTTTCTAATTAAAATGTATGAGTATTACCCAGCATTCTGCATCAATCAGTTGGTAACAGTTCATGCTCTGAATAGTCTTTGAGCAAAACCTTCCTCAGTTACCTTTATGATTTAACCACAGCTGTTTCTTTCTTTCTTTCTTTCTTATTTAGAAACCTTATGCTTGTCAAATTCCAGGATGTACCAAACGCTACACAGACCCAAGTTCCCTAAGAAAGCATGTGAAGGCACATTCTTCCAAAGATCAACAAGCAAGGAAAAAGGTAATTTTAAAAGAAAATTTTCAAGCCAGAAAAAGCACATTTAAATGACTCTTGCAGAACTTAGAGATTCTGCAGGGCATTGGAAATTTTTATTCTTCTTAACATGCTTAAGGTTTAGCATATAACTCTTTTGAGGAGGGAAGTCTTCCATGAAGTAATAGCAAGGCTGTGGTTTACAAAGCTGATAGAGCCAGATAAGAATTTCTGGGGAAGGCTTGTATAATAGGAATCAGAGAAAACTAGTGAAAATCATCTAAACTAGTAAGTAACAAAAGGCTTTTGTGGAAATTAAGTTTAAATGGCTAAAGAAAAATACAACAAAAATCCTTTCTGGAGAGACGTTTTTTCCATAAATGATCATTTGGATGAAATCATTATAGCTCTAATAAAGAAGGTAGGTGAATTTCTAGGAAAAGAAGAGAATATTCCTCATGTTAAGCTTAGAAAACTTCTTGATGACAATCTGAACAAAAAAAAAGAAATCCAAGTCACTCTGATGTCACTGAAGGACGGATGCAATTTGCAAAGTTTATAAAAATCATAGTATCTCCAATGTGGAATAAATGTTAAAGAACAAGCAGCCAGTCCCTGACCTGCTCTTCTGACCTCATGCAGGGCCACACATTGTTGGCACTCTGGGATTCAACACCACTGGCAACAGGGAGCTGATTTTCTTTCAAGGCGTTTCCTAGTAACTGAGTTTTAAATGTTTTTGAACAAACTAGTATCCTCTGTCCACAGCAGAAAACATATTTAGCTACCTTGGCTTTTGAGTGTTTCATTTGTATCGAGATGGACACCTGATTCACTGAAGGGCCATTTATAGCAAAGTTAAGGACATTTTAAGATTCCACTTATTTCAAGTGATTGAACCCCATGGCAAGGGTTTTTAGGTACCATGGCTTCTAGTTAGAAATCTTGCATCCATTCTTTCATGGCTTATAGGAATTTAACATGTGATGTTTGGAAATGTTCTGTAGTTTTTTTGTGATGTGAATTTTTTCTGCCTTGAGAGGTGTTAGTACAATGCCAACCAAGGTCTCACACATGGAAAGAACGTGACCTCTTCCCTGTGAGTTAGAAAAATATTCAGCTAGGAGGATTTGACAGATATACTTAATTGCATAAAAACCCAATCTTGTAAATCAAATTCTAAATTAGTTATTTTTTTCTCTAGAGATGTATTTAAAATTTCCTTACTTGTAATCTTAATAAATTGATATCTGTGATCACTTGGCATGGATTGGATATATTCTTGAATTTTAGAAAAACAATGAAACTGCTAAGTATGTTAATAATGTAAATATAATTGGAAGGATGATGCTTAATCTTAAAATAACACACCATTGTCGAATATCATTAAGTACTTTCAGTAGGATCAGTGTCATTTTTGTCATTATCCATGTACACTTTACACGTTTGAAATAACAAATTACATTTTTTTTAAAAAAAGCCCTCTTTGATGAGAGGGTTATTACTCTAAGACTGACATTGTCTGTAAACAGGTTGTCCCAAATTTGTGAGGCTTCACTTGTAATACCAAATTTATCAGTAAGATTGGAAAGCACCTGTGTAGAATGTAACATGATCATCACGGACAGAGCAAGGACATTAGTCCCATATCTAAACAAATAAGCAAGATGATGTTAAATTTAAGAAGGTAACATTAGGTGTCAGATATAGAATATAGCATGGGATATTTTCAGAAATTTTTTTTAATTCAAATATGATATGTTTTAGCCTCATTATAATGGAAAATTAGTCTTGACAATGTGAAAGATTCTTGAAACACTAATTGAAAAAGAAAAACAGACCTTGAGACTACAAAATATAATTTTATTGATAATTTACTGACAATCTTCAACAGGCAATTAAGATGACAGGGGATACATTTTCAAGTAATATTATCATCTCATGTCAAAATTATGGTTCTTCATTTTTTTATGTAAAGTGAGATGTTATCTTTCAAATGATTTAGCTTTTGAGGTTCACTCTTTTCTTACAAATGGTTGAAATGGCTTTGGTTGACTTCCATTGCCCAGACCTAAATGACAAGTTTACAGTGTTTATTTTCCAAATTTTAACATGCCTTTTTATTTAAAAATGTGTTTATGAATCTGTGATGGATTAGCTTGTGGAAATCAAAATGATGAAAGTTGCTCCATCCAACAAAAAGAGGAAACATCCTCCCAGGAGAAGCAGTTGCTAATAAACCAGAAATCAGTCAATCCACATTTCTGAATCTTGCACCGATATACTAGTGTGTTATATTTACATGGTACAATGTTGTTACTAGACCTTGGAGAGATTCTAATTGCTTACTCACATCAGGACTTGGTATTTGAAATATTTCCTGGCAGTAATCATAAAAAAAGGAAAGAAACAATAAACCTTTTAAGGCAGAATTAAGATTATTTACGACTTTAATTAAAAATTGAAAACTGGCATCATTTCAAAAAAGCCTTTACAAAAATGTGAATTCATCAAAAATAACCATAAAAATTCCAAGGTGATAAAGGCACAGTGGAGTAATGGTCCCAGCCCTAGGGAATTGTTTTGTTGAAAAGAATAAAACTCTTTTCTGTCACACCCTGTTAGTCACGGACTTGTTTAATATACCCTGCCTGCCTGCCTGCCTCTAATCCTCTTTTTAACCTCCCCTAGACACTAAATGACATTATTTTGGTCTTAACGTTGCCGGCTTTATGTGGCCCTACTCTGAAATCAGGGCCAGCAACAAAGCATCCATAGCCATAAGATTAATATATATCAGGAGAGCCCGAGAACTCATAAGTGATATTCTAGCCATGGGCATGTGGCCCTTTCCCACACCTGACAGATGATGATGGAAAAATGAAACTCTCCTCCTTCAAAAGAATTGGGATAATTTGGCTCATTGCATGCAGAGAGTAACTTTTCTCTTTGCATAAATCATGCACACCCACACATTCCATCAGCCAGTGTACAGACTTCTTCCACTGAATGCACTTTGCAGTTTTCAAGTCCCTTGAAACAGACCTACACAGATAAATGGGTAGCGAAAGACGTAAGTCACCAGCAATGGTCTCCACTGAGAATAAAATTTAGCCTATAGAGCAAAGACAGAACCTGTCCTCCAATTCTGTCTGATAATGAGTGAGTGAAATAAGAGAAAACTAAGGCAATAAGCCACTTGAAATTTTCCTCAAGGCTGTGAGCTTTATCAGAATTTTTCATTTTCACCTTGGAAGTGTCATAAAAGGGGTTTCCTTCAAATCTAGCCCGTTATCAAAATGGACTTTTAAAAAAGTGAATGCAAAGAATGCCTAGCCAAAAGTTAGAGGCAATAGGAATCTTTCATCCATTCTATACTTCCACAAAGATCCCGAACTTTAAGTGTGATTTGTTCAATATTTGTTACACATTCACCTTTGGTTTGCCATGGTGGATGACTTTCATCTTATGACCTCAACGCAGGCTCTTATAAACCAAGCTTAGCATTTGAAATGTGTGTGAATGCAGCATGTATTTATATTTCTGACTTAGAGGACAGCTCTATATAGCATTTTGGCTAAGGTGGAGTCACTTATTTAATGCAACTTTCTTCGTGTAGAACTGGCAATTCTTTGGAATCTGTTCAGAGACAACACCTCTCTATATATATTTAAAACTATAAACAACATCATTAAGTACCACATAGGTTCACCTTGCTTTATGAAAAGTTATGTGAAAAAAATATTTGTCCCTGAATCAAAGCATGTATTAAAAGGACTAATGAGGTTCACTTTTTCTATCAGTTGTTTTCTGTCATGGTCTATATGGCAGGTGGCATGCACAAGTGAGGTATGCAATCAGGTGTCTTAATGGATTTTGCAATGCCTTTTCACTTTTCTTTCTTGTTTCTGCTCAGAAATAAATTATACCACTCCCACTAGTAGCAGAACATTAGTAATAGGCACATATCACAGACATATCATCTCAGGAAGAACTAGCCCACCCCTTCCTCTCACATTTACAAAATTATATGGAGTGCAAGTAAGTGAGAAGCAGGCTATTGTAGTGAAGATGTTCAAGCAGCACAATGTTATTTTAAAAAAAAATGAGTCACAAAATTCTGTACTTTTAACAATTTGCTGGTGACAAATTACTTACATCACACTTCAAAATGATGGTGACACATACCTAGATATCCTGATGCCTGAGTTAAGAGGAACTTATTTCAAGTAAGGCACAGGAAGATGCTTTAGTTAAACAAATATTTTTCAGTAAAAATAGTGGTGCTATTAAATTTAATGATTATTTCACCTTGGAAGTGTCATAAGACACTTATTAAATTTAAATGAAAGAAGTAATCTCAACTTTAACCCTAGGTCAGTAATACTGATTTGAACTTGATACCGGTTACCTGGAAGTTTGCATTTTAAGAAAGCCCAATAGAAGTCCAGCTTTGCTTTTGAGAGCATTTTGAAGCTACAAAGTGATGGGAATTATTTTAAAAGAGTTGAGACTCCAACTCCACATTTGAAAAAATTGGGGAAGGTTGTCAATGAGAGTGACCAGTGAATTAGAATAAGCTTCAAGTCCTTTCTTGAGTCATCAGAAAAACTCTTTCCACCCTTGTAAATACAGTATAACACCCACCATCTCTGGAGAGATGACCCAGGGTCTTATTTAGGGTGAAATTTGTTTCCTAAGGTATGTCCTTTGGAACACATTTCATAAGATGTTATTAGATATTTCCTTTTGCGGGGAGGGATACCTGGGATTGAACTCAGGGACACTCGACCACTGAGCCACAACTATTTTGTATTTTTTATTTAGAAACAGGTCTCACTGAGTTGCTTAGTGCCTTGTTTTTCTCTGAGGCTGGCTTTGAACTTGAGATCCTCCTGCCTCAGCCTCCTGAGCCACTGGGATTACAGGAGTATGCCACTGTGCCAAGCTAGACATTTCTTTTTAAAAGTCATTTATTTCATATAAGTTTAGTAAAAATGGTATTCAGTGGTTTCCTTCCTGCAATA